TGCACCCAAGGCGCCTATTACTATTGGTACTACCCTTGCTTGCTTTTGCCACAGTCTTTCTATTATTATTATTATTGTTGTTGTTGTTGTTGTTATTATTATTATTATTATTATTATTGACAAACAGGACACCGGGGGAAAATATTTTTTTCTCCTCTAAGAGATCAGCCTTAAATATTATAATTCATGCCTTTCCTGGACTAGGCAAGTTGTTATGAACCTGCTTGGTGGGAACATTTAAGATCCCTGCCAGCCGCTGAACAAAAACTGATGGATCACCTGGCGCAAATTTGCACAACTGGGTGGGATCGGTTACACAACGACACAAAACGCTGCTCATTCTTTCAAACCCAAGTCCCGTTGCATTCCATGCGACTTGCTCTTTGCAGGCTAAAACGCTCCAGAGCCGTCTACTGAACCGCAAGATGCAATTAACCTCAAGATTTTTTTGACTTCCCTAATAGCAAAAGTCTAGTTTAGGCTTCTTATTACAAAAAAAAAAACCAACAAAAAAAACTAGTCTGACGAGTTTCAGATCTTAAAAGTTTCATTTCTCCCGATCGCTTCCTGATGGCTGCAAGAATCAAGGGCTCTTTTGTGCAATTCAACACACACACACACACACCCTGCTAATTTTCCATCTTCCCCTCGACAACTGCATGGGTTTTGTTCAACAACCGTGGCCCAAAAAAATAAAAAAAATAAATAAGATCACAAAATCAACACGACTCACTGAACCAACCGCCTCGCTTAGCAACGGAAATCCCGGTCCCAACCCAAGTCGTATCTTGGAGGACTGTCTGTGCTTCTGTTCACCGAAGAAGGGACGGGTGCGAAAATTATCTCTGCCGTAGGCGAAGCCCAAAGCAGACGCTGCTTTGCAGGCCTGGGTAAAATGAAAAGCAGAAACGGTGAAGGGAGGCTTTTGTATCTTCCAGACAGAACTAGATCCTCCCTCCAGGCAATCGTCTGTTTTGGTTAAATGCCCTGGAGCACCGGATCATCGGATCGCCGTATGCTTTATCCTGGCGAGCTTCTGATATATCTGTCAAGACTCCGCCTGATTTCTGGTTTACCTAACGCGGCTCTCTTTCTACAAATGGTTGCAAGACTTGAGTATCTCAGGATAAGAGAAGAACAGGGTGGGAAGGGACCTTGGAGGTCATCCAGTCCAACCCCCTGTCCAAGCAGGGGATCCTCTGCCATTTCAGACAGATGCCTGTCCAGTCTCTTCTTAAAAGCCTCCAGGGATGGAGCACTCACGGTTTCTAGAGTTAAGACGTTCCACTTATTAATTGTTCTCGCTGTCAGGAAATTTCTCCTTAATTCTAGGTTGCTTCCCTCCTTAATAACACAATAATAGAGCTGGAAGGGGCCTTGGAGGTCTTCTAGTCCAGCCCCCTGCTCAAGCAGGAGACTCAATACTATTACAGACAAATGGCTGTCCAGTCTCTTCTTAAAATCATCCAGTGATGGAGCCTTCACAGTTTCTAGTCTAGAGTTAAGCCGTTCCACTGGTTAATTGTCCTCACTGTCAGGAAGTTTCTCCTTTAAATCCAGGTTGCTTCTCTCCTTGATGAGTTTCCATCTGTTGCTTCTTGTCCTGCCTTCAGGGGCTTTGGAGAATAGCTTGACTCCCTCTTCTTTGGGGCAGCCCCTGAGATATTGGAAGACTGCTATCCTGTCCCCCCTCGTCCTTCTCTTCATTAAACTAGACATCCCCAATTCCTGCAACCACTCCTGATATGTTTTAGCTTCTGTTCCCCTAATCCTCTTTGTTGCTCTTCTCTGCACTCTTTCTAAAGCCTCAACATCTTTTCTGCATCGTGGTGATCAAAACTGGATGCAGGATTCTAATAATCTCCTTCACTCGGATATTCAACCAAGCGGTTAACAAGATCACTGATCTTGCAGAGACCTGTTTGTTCATTTTTAAACGTTGCCTTCAGGATCGCTGTTGAAGTAGCTCCTTCGTTCTCAGCGGTTGGTCGATTGGATGGATGTCCATGTGTCCGTTTATTGACTTGTTGTTGCTGGAGAACCCAGGCTTTGAAAAATTCTCATTCTCTCCTTGATTTCGCTTGGGTGACGACTGTGGTCCCGGTTACATCAAACTTGTGTCCTTCTGAGTCTTTGTGGACAGACATGAGGGACAGTGGGTCGTGTCTTTGGATAGCCAGGACGTGTTTGCGTAGTGCTTGAGCAGGGGGCTCGACTAGAAGACCTCCAAGGTCCCTTCCAGCTTCTATTCTATTCTATTCTATTCTATTCTATTCTATTCTATTCTATTCTATTCTATTCTATTCTATTCTATTCTATTCTATTCTATTCTTCTTATTCTATTCTATTCTGTATTTCTATTCTATTCTATTCTGTTCTATTCTATTCTATTCTGTATTTCTATTCTATTCTATTCTGTATTTCTATTCTATTCTATTCTATTCTATTCTACTCTACTCTATTCTATTCATCATTATTCTCTTCTCTTTTCTTTATTATT